CGGGAGCACGGCCGCCCTCTTGCCCGGCCCCGCCGCGTTTTCTGTGTTTTCTGCGGGGTGGAAACCACAGGCGCTGCATTTTCCCAAGCACCGCGGCACCCCTTTGGGAACGCTGAGAAAACGCACCGGACTCACATGGAACGGGAACCCCCCGTACAGCCACGGAAAACTCCAAACGGAGCTGGAGTGGGGGTTCTGGAGAAGCCCCAGCCGGCGCCGGCGGCTCGCGCCAGTCACCAGGGCCGGAGACCTGAGCATCGCGGTGCGGAGCCAGCCCGGCTGCAAAGTCCATGAGACACTGATCTCCAATGAACCCCAGAAAACAGGACGTGGCACTGTGGCTCAAGCGGTGGAGCGCTCGCCTTGAGCTGGAGAGCTGAGGGACAGCGCCCAGGCCTGAGTTCAAGCCCCACAACCAATAAAGAATTGGGGCAGAGGCTAAATGTATACATGATCATTAAATAGTCTGGGTTACTGTTGTGACCTGGGTGACCATTGTGGAGAGATTTCAGAGGAACTCAACTCATCACTTGAGGGAGCAATCTGGACAGCTTCATCATTATGAGTAACATGTGTATGTCTTGAACTCTGGGCCATGGTTTCTAGTGTCCCACAGCTTATCACTGGAGGTGGTAACCAGGAGAAGAGTTTCTGGATACAAATTTCTGACTCTTAAGAAGGGAAGAGTGTATTAAGCATACGCTGTGTTTGTACAAACAATTCCAGCACGGTGAGCCACTCTTCTCTGAATGGTGGAAATCCTTCCCAAACCACTTTCCCAGGTACCAGGCAACTAACTGTGTGAGCTTGCCTTTGTGGAAGGGCCCTCTAAAGTTGAAAGTAAGACTACCTGGTGCTGGGTGCCTCTGGCTCACGCCTGTCATCCTAGCTGCTCAGGAGGCTGAGATCTGAGGATCACGGTTCAAAGCCAGCCCAGGCAAGAAAATCTATGAGATTCTTTTTTTTTGGTCAGTCATGGGTCCTAAACTCTGGGCCTGGGCGCTGTCTCTCACTCAGCTCTTCAGCTCAAGGCTAGTGCTCTGCCACTTGAGCCACCGCATCACAGCTTTTTTGTGCTTATGTGGTGCTGAGGAATTGAACCCAGAGCTTTATGCATGCAAGGCAAGCAGGCTACCACTGAGCCACCTAGCCAGCCCTCTATGAGATTCCTATCTCCAACTAGCCAGCAAAAAGCCAGAAGTAGAGTTGTGGCTCAAGTGGTTGAGTGCCAGCCTTGAGCAAAAAACAAAAAGAAAAACAACAACAAAAGAACACACTAAAGACAGAGCCAAGGCCCTGAATTCAAGCCCCACCATCAACACCCCCCCACACACACACACATGGTGAGAGGTATTACACTTGAGAAACTATCCAATGTGTTTCACACATCAGTCCTGTGACCTCAGAGCCTTTTGGGTTTTCTTGGTGAGTCTAGGTTCTCCTTCAATAGCCAACATGAGTCAGTGTCAGTAGCTCGTCCTGGTTCTGCCCTCCCCTATGCAGCAGAAAGAGTATTTACACTGATCCTTAGGCTACGACTGCTGGGCGCCGGTGGCTCACGCCTGTCATCCTAGCTATTCAGGAGGCTGAGATCTGAGGATCGAGGTTCAAATCCAGCCTGGGCAGGAAAGTCCGTGAGACTCCTATCTCCAATAAACCACCAGAAAACCAGAAGTGGTGCTATAGCTCAAGTGGTAGAGCACTCGCCTTGAGCTGAAGAGCTGAGCGACAGCACTCAGGCCTAGAGTTCAAGTCCCACGGCCAACCAAAAAAAAAGAAAAAATAGGCTATGACTTCCCACAGAATCATGCCTCCCTGGAGCAGATCCACGCAGCGGAGGGGCGTGGGTTGCTGGGGGAGAGGCAGCCTTGCTTGTGGTCATTTTACTCTTTCAAATTTTCCCAAGTGGGGTGGTGTAATGGCATGTGTTTGTGGTCCCAGATATTCAGGAAGCTGAGGTGGGAGGGTTACTTGAGTCTCCATATTGCCTGGGCAGTTAGCACGACCCCCTCCCAAACGAAACATATGACCGCGTTGCCAGCACCCCAGCCCGGAAGGAGCTGGTCTGTGCAGTGTCACTGCAGACATGACGCTGAAGCCCAGCTTTCTAGGGCACACAGAAGCATCTTAGCAGACAAGCCCAGCCCAGAAGGGCAAGCCCCTTCAGCAGAGTATGCCACCATTCTATAGGCCACTGAGAATTTGTGAGGAGGGAGCACTAAGTCAAGAGCTCATTGCCACAGGTAAGCCCGAGGGGTTTCGT